GAAATTTATAAAAAATGAAACAGAAAAACTTTGAAGTTACTGACTTTGATGAAGTTGTTTCAAATATATCATTCACTTCGTATATCATTCTTCTTCGATTGAATGAATTTTGAAACCATCCCTTGTTCGACCATACGACTAATTGGCTGATGCATTGGCATTATAATCTTGAAAAATATTTTTTTTACCACGTTTTATATAATATTCAGTGTTATAAAATTTCTATCGACTCTCAGAAGTAACAATTGTTCAATCTTTACTAAGCTGGATCCTCGCTGAAGATTCTTCGTTCGTAAAACAACGATAAATTTGTATCGACTATACCTCGGTATACGCAAGAAGCATAGAATGAAAATTACATACTCCCTGACAATTCTGAACAAACTTACGACCAAATTGTATCATTAGCAGCATGAATGATTTCAGCCTTGAATATTGAAACTTGACTTCGAAACTTGAAACAACAAACTCTGCTCGTTGAAAATGATGTTCACTTCGCCTGACTTTGTTTTCCTTTCGCTTCCAAAGTTCTCGACGTAGGTTGCTTTTTTCCAAAATAGCCGAGCGAGACTCTCGTCCGCAGAATCGACTTTCCAAACGAATTGCTCTGCAGTAGAAAACGTTCCAAGTCTCGGAACTTCTGTTAGACAGCGCTGATGTTCGTAGAGATCCTTCGAAGACTCTCGATTCACAGCACAGTTTCTGTATTTCGATGCAACGAAACGAAGTGACCTCTTCACATCTGCATAGAAGCACGCGCAACTTGCACATCTTTCTCGAATTGTTGTACACGTGTTATATATAACGGTGTTAGCTGCGTAAACAACACCAGCACAGATGTAACACACATATACGTACGTACACAATTGTGAAAGATTAAAAGTTTTTATTTCAACGAGCATTTAATTATGCTTGGCTAAGTAACAGTAGTGACTATTTGCAATTGTTAATGTTCCTTCATTAAAGGATGTGAAAAATACTTCCAGCGATAAGCTGAATTTGACCCTTTGAAGCGGACAATTTGGAAATGATTTTATCGTACGTACAATTATTTATTAACTTTTATGTTTATAATAATAAACATTGTAGTAATAAAAATAAAATCATTGATAATAATAAAGTTATAATAACAAAATTTAATTTTATTTCCATACTTATCATGTTTGTTAAAATAAAAAATAATCCTGCTTACTCGACAATACAAGCTCACATTTATTTGCGTAATTTCTGCTAAAGTCTTTCCTTTAAATGAAACTTCAAAAAAAAGCGTGTTATTCCAAACCTCAAAAGGTTAAATTCAATTTTTTTTTGATCAATTTTCGCTGAAATCCATTAATGCTTATATTATCGTCTACACTTTTGCTTTGTGTCCCATGGTGTCTTATAAAAGTTTATTCCCGAAAAATCTTTCCTCCTTTATTTCCTCGTCCGGATATCCACTTCCGGTTTCACACGCCACGTTCTGTATTTGTTCTCCCGGGAATTATATGTTCGGCCATCGGAAACGCATAGGCCGTCAAACGAGAATGGATGGATTCAATCGGAATTAATTAAGTGATCCCAGTCCCCGCCTTTTGATTTTGAATTCGCTCGCGTTCGAGTGGCGGGAATTTCAAATATTATCCACTTTCAGAAATGAGAAAATAAGCGTTCTAAAACGGCGTACCAACACCTGTATAATTTTTAAAATATTTTTATCCCACGTTATATGTTGAAAGAACTAATTGTTGTTATTATTATTTTTTTTTTGTTATTAATAGAAAGCAAAATTTGGAAATTTTTATTTTGGAAATACGCGGATACACCTAACACCTGAAAATTTTGTAAAAATTTCATGTAAATTGGCGCATAGAGAAACAATGAAATGTTAACGTTCGTTCGGGAAATTTGCAAAGTTTTAGAAAACTTTGGAACACTTTTTATACGGAATTAAAGTCGGTATTTGTAAATATCGTTTGATGATGAAACAAGGCGTTCCAATCACGAATTCACTAGATTCTCTCTTGAACGTTCAATTTAAAAATCTCTTCGGAGAAAGTCGTGGAAGACTTTCAATTATTTCCCAATCGATAAAGCGATTGAAGAATTGAGAACAACTGACCCGGGAGAACTCACTCAATTAATCGAACGATATGAATAGTTCCGTGATATTGCATTCTTCTAATACGATTGCATCGATAAGAGAGAAATCATCAATCCTTCCCTTTGATAATATAAAAATACATGAAAGTACGTAAAACGTGAGGAAAAAACGTGAAATCGTTCTTTTCTTCAGGTCAGAAATATCCAGAGTTGAAATTTCCAGTAAGAAGATCGAAAGAGAGAGAGAGAGAGAGACGTGTCATAACTAAATTAGAAGATTGAAATGTCCATTAACACGAAGCTATTCCGTCGTCAGAGGAATCTTACAGGATGTGTCAGAGATTAGAGCGGTAATCTTTCATTTACTTGAAGCGGTGCGAAAATTAACTCGTTTACTGCAATGCAATGCCGCGCGTTTGTCTTCATTCTTGCCGAAGGCAATTTCTGGCACGACGAGCATAATCACAAATGCCTTCTTCACGAACCGAAAGTCGAGCCTCTGTGTATGTGTGTGTGTGTGTGTGTGTGTGTGTTGCTCATTTCTATTTTCTCATGACTAGAAGGGAGAAATTGCACGATTCTGTGAAAAAGTTAAGATTGAAAGCTGTTAGAAAGATCCTTTCGCAATACATTGCAGGTTGCATTATAATAATATAATGATATTTATAATATTTATTGTTAT